CATAATAATATGCACTAATCGTTAGGTTTGCAGAAAAGATTGTTGTAGATTGTAGCGTGGTGCGGGGGGCAGGGCGATGGCGGTAAGGAAGGGCAACACGGAATTGATAGTGCCTTGCTAAAGAAACGTCCACCGATCTGAGCCCAGCGGCATTTCACCATGTCCGACTCCATGATGTTTCCTCCCGAGGCCAAGTTGGCCGCGTTGATCTCCTTCTGCAGCTCCGCGGCCTCGGTCGGGCTTTGCGAGCCCCCCAAACCGGCCCTGTCTCGCTGCATCCCGCCCTCCGCCTGCCTTTTTGGCGGCTTCCGGGTCCGAAGAACCCTGAGCAACTCGCGGTGATTCAGCGATTCAGCAGGCATGCGGCGTTTGCGGATGTCGCCTTTGCTGCAAGGATGGCCTGGCGGAAAGCCAGCGACCTTAGGAGCAGTGCGATTCAAAGATCGCAGTTCGGAGGAGTTGTCTGATCTTGTCTGATTTTGCCTGGCCACTGCGCCTTCCACTTCGGGACTGACTTGTCCTGTCCAGCTGCGCTGCGAACCTCCTCTTGAATTTCGATGTGTCAGCCAACGCTTCTGCGACCACTGGCCTTTTTGGCTGCCTTGTCCGGCACCTCCTTCGGAGCGTCTTTTTGTCGCTCTATCCTTGCGGCGGCCACAACATTGGCCACGCTGTCCCAATAACTGAGGCATACTGAGGCTCATGCTTAGAGGCATTTGCGATGAGCACATTGGCATTCTCGAACTCACCCAAGCGGTTGGCAGCACCTTGGGATACACACGCTTGCTCCTTTCCTTCCCCTCCCTCCGTTCCCTCTGTTCTTAGGCACTGTTGAACTGCTTGCGTTTCTGCTGAAAGACCTGCACCGGACGGAACTTGGATGCTCTTAGTGCCGTGGGATTGCACAGCACGTTAACGGTTAATGCGCCTTCTTGCAGATTTTCGTATGCCGCTCCAGACCTGCCGAGAAGAGTGAATGCTCTGCAACGAGAGAATAATCCATCCTCTCCTATCATCCGCGAGTGCATAGTTAAGGCCCGGACTGTCTGCTTTGAAGCTCCGGCCACAGTCGGGACAGGGTATTAGAGGCCTTGGCAAACCGCAACGAACACGTCTCGGCAAGTTGGGCCACATGCTCAGGCGAGTTCCCACCGTCATCATCGCTGCCGCCCAAGAGGCCCTCAACAGACTTCGGCGTCGACCTACCTGTCATGAAGAGCTTGGCTTGGAGGCTCAGCTTGCAGGATCCAAAGCACTCGCACTTTCCGCCTGAGTTTAAGCCTGGCTTTGCAGGCACCCGTGCCTGTCGGGATGGGATCCCTCGGCAGTGCACGAGTGAGAGACCCTGCCGGCCTGTGATGGTGTCAGCGTGGGCTGTGACGCTGTCAACGGCGTGGGGTAGCCGTCCTCCACCAGCCTCCAGCAACTGGGCTGCACCATCCGCGCTCCGCCCACCACGCCCACTCCACTGGCGCAGTGCGAGCTGGTGGCCTCCTGGTGGTGTCCTTCGCCTCAACCTTAGGCCGCGGGCTCGCCGGCCGCGGGCTGCCTTGCCGTCTCGGGCTCCCCCGGGGCTCGGCCGCGGCCGGTGCGGATGGTGGGTCCTAAGTCCATCTGAGTCCCAAACCCAATCAAGATGACGACAGCAAGAAGAGAAACACACAGTGTCCTCCATTCAGCTTCAGCAACAGAGCTACAGATCGAACAGGAGCTATTTTGGGCTCGCAGGTCGCCTACCCAAGCGTCCATCTTCTGGCGAACTCTGCGGCTCTGCCGCTGTAGCTCCAGCTCTAGGCATTCGTCTCCGGTCGGCCGCCACCACCTGCGCTGAGAAGACGGAGCACTCGTTCCCAGCTCCTCAAGAGCTTTGGATCCTGCTATGTCACGCTATGTCCGCTGTGGTCAAAAGGGGCACTTGTGGCCCTCACCGGCGAGGCCGTGCTCTCGCGAAGGGGGAGACGAATCCCTGGCAAGTCGGTTACATAGCCAGAACAGGCTCAGAGGCCCCGGGCCTTCTCCATGTCTGGCCGCTTGCCTTTTCCTTTGCCCTTATCGCTCTCCTGACTACGACGACTACGATCGAAGTGCCGCGTGCGTACACGACGCATCAGAAAAATGCCTCTTGTGCCGGCTTGTCCCCAAGCCTGACATGAAGACTGCGGGGAGCTCGCAACGTCCAGCCATGTGGTGAGACTGAGGATGCAACCACAACATTCTTGCCCGGTCTTGTGCCTGTCTTTGCTTCTCTTTCTCGCCCTTAAAGGCTATGGAACTGGTCGATAGAGGAGGTGAGGCATTCATGAGACCCCGGCCGCAGTCCAGGTGTTCAGAAACGGCCCCGGCTGTGCCTTCACTCTGCAAAGCCGAAAGAGAGAGAGAGAGAGAGAG